GAAGAATCAAAAAATATTGAGGTAAAAATTGGAGGAAGAAACAACAACAGTCTTCAATATACTGAAGATACAACTCTACTTCCAGGAATCAAAGAAGGCCTGGAACATCTGATCAAGAAAATCAAGGAAGAAAGTAAGAATTTAGATGTCTTTCTGAACATCAAAAAGACCAAACTCATGACCACTGCAATGAATAGAAACATCAAAATACAAATTGATGATAAAGAGAAAGAATGCATAGAAAAATTCACTTTCCTAAAACCCCAAATCACTCAATGCAGAGAAGACAGCCCAGAAATGAAATGGTAGATTGTACTGAGCCACACAGCAATGATGAACATGAGCCAAATATAGAAAAGCAAGAACATCAGTTTGGCAACACTCTATTGTGTTCCTCATAGCTACCTATGGTTGTGGAAGTTGGACTTTAAAAAAGCAAAACAGGAACAAAATTGACATTTGAACTGTGGTGCTAGAGAAGACTCCTGCGTATTCCTTGGATAGCAAAGATGGCTAACAAGCAAGTACTGGAGTGCGCAACACCAGACATTGATTAGAACCTTGGCTTACTAGTAGTACATATTCTTCAAAACCTGCTGAATAACAAAATCTGGTAAGGGACACATGGTATGGACTTTGTAATATCTGCAATATGGTTTTTGTAGCACTGTTGCACTGGTAACTAACATGAGGTCTTTTTATGTTAATTAACCTTATTTCTCTTCCCCTTTCAAATGTATTGTTAGTAATTTGCCACAAACCTTAACTTTCAAGAATAATGTAAAAAGCCTTTTCTTTTAGAAACTAAGACTGGTTGATGTATTTGATACATTATAAATAAAATACTTTCCTTTTCTGCTTTTCCCAAGCTTCAGTGAACAAAGCAAGTATTTGAGCACAGTGCTCAGAAAAGCACTGTGAATGACATTCTGCCTTTTATTCCTTTGCAAATGTTTCTTTGACTTTTATTCAGAATACAATGCCCTTTCCAATTCTTATGCTTACATATTATTGGATATCTAATTTTTCATTATGTAACTGGAGAGTTCATTATTTAACTGAGTTTTCCTAATCCAATCAACTTTTACTTTGAAGTATCTTTGTTGTGCAAACTATAAAAAGAAATGTAAACCTATGTTCCATGTTTCCTCTCTTATATTTTTTTATCTTGGAGCATTCCAAATAAATCATAAATTAAATGGTTTTTCTGTTCTGGTATTTTAACTGGGGTTCAGCATATTGAAGCGTGAACCTAGAGCCACATTGGTTATCACTTGTCTGCTTATCCACTACTCAGTATAAAGTGACACTTGCTTTTCCAAATTTGGCTCTCCTTGGTCAGAGTTATGCCAAATACCTTACCAAGCACATTAACAAATTAATCCTACTGTGTCTGGAAGTTAAGTCATGGCAATTCAACTTGTTTCCTTCCCTGTCTGAGACATTTCGCTTCCCATCCTTGCAGCTCCTTCAGTCTGAGCAAGTTGGTTAAGCCTAAGGGACTCTGAGCAGGCAGATAGTCATTGGAATCTACCAACTCCCAAAATTCTTAGGGGTATTCCCACACCAACCTCATGGTTTCTTCTCCAAATAAGCATCTCAAATCAACAAGAAAGTAAGTCCAGTTACCATGACTCAACTTTCAGATAATTTTTGGATGTGGATGAATGAGACTTTTTATTGACATATTGCCACATATTTGGGGGAAGAAATCCAGAGGTTGGTGCAAGAATACACCTAACAATTTTAAGAGTTGGTACATTCCAATGGTTGTCTGCCTATTCAGATTCCTCAACCACCTTATTCAGACTGAAGACATTGCCTGGATGGGTAGCAAAATGTCTCAAACCAACAAGGAAATAAATCTAGCTTTCATGACTCAACTTCCAGACAATTCTACCTGGATGACTGAGAATCTTTGTCAATATCTGTCTGTTCCTTTTGCTTTTATTTTTGCTACTTTCCCCTTTATATAGGAGAACAATAATTGCATTCATCATCATATCAAGATGCAGCCTTCACCCAGACATTAAGCAAGTTGCATAGTGTTGACACTCCATAAGAAAACTAGATCTATTTTTTAATATACTGCCACTATCCTTACCTGCACCTTACAATTTTTCAATATTCTCACAGCATTTATGACTTATTTTTCATCAAGATTTTCTTGGACACTAACATAGCATACATTTTAACTCTACTCTTATACGTAACACTATAATTCCATCACAATCTCTAAAAGAACTGGAAGTGACTGCCTGTTTGAATAAATAAATAAATAAAATATTCCTTCCAGCATTCATTCACATTCCCTCCCTAAATTATTTCATTGCTTTTATTTTGAACTCTATTCACTCTGCTGGAGGCTCCTTGTTTAGTTATTTTCACACACTTTCAAAGTATTTTTTTTATTATTTCCATTAAATTTGGTCTGCATTTTTTTGTCTCTTTTATTCTCAACCCTTCCTTCCTCTCTTACTTACATTTTTTGGCTATATGTATTTATATAATATATTTCTTTCATAATTTTTTCAACATTTTTTCTTACATAAATTTCTTCCTCATCATCAGCCTTTCTCTCATCATTTTATCCGGCATCCTTTTTCAAATTTCCCCTTAACTCCACAAATTTCTATGGCACCCTGCTATGTAACTCTTTTCATTCTGTTCTAAGAAATTTTTACATCCTCTTTTCTTATATCTATTTTCAATTCATTCTCAAGGGAAATCTATCTTCTAATACTTTTTCATACAGGATTCCATATTTTCTTTAATGTAGTCATTTACTTTTCTTCAGTTTTATTTTTTCTCCTTTTCTTCCATATCCATGTTTCCCCTAAGATCCACTCTTGACACTTAGACACTCCAGAATCTTCCATCCTTCTCAGATTCTCCATTAATTATTTTAGTCTTTTATCAGATAGCCAGGTCTGCTTTTAGCTTAATATTAATTTCTTTGCCATACATATTTATGAATAAACATTCTTAAACCGCATATTCAAAACAAAATACATTTTTAAAATAGATACTCACTAAGCAACCACTATTGGCATTCATTTTTGATTTTCCAAATGATTTAGTTTTTTTATTAAAAGTTTTTAAAAATTTATTACAATATAAACCCACCCACCCCTCTCCCCTTCCCCCCCTCCCCCACTTCCCAGAGCTGATTACAGGGTAACAAATAAACAAACATAATCTAACTAACATAAACCAACTATACTATCAATCAAAACCATAACACACTTTAACTCCTTCTCAAAACAAATATTAACAAATTAAAACAAAAATAATAATATAATTAAAACTATTAATAATTATCTAAAATCTACTCAAAAGCAAGATAATACTTTTCAGTTTCATATTTCTTTTGAATATTATCAATCCATCTTCTCCAAACCATAATGTATCTTTCTTGTGAATGGTTTTTCAAGTAGGCGAAGATTTTCTCCATTTCTGCTAAATTAGACACCTTAAGTATCCATTCTTCCAAAGTAGGCAATGAGTTTTTCTTCCAATATTGCCCCACCAATAATCTTGCAGCTGTTATAAGATTCAAATGTTTGCCACCCATGTTTCCCCTAAGATCCACTCTTGACACTCAGACACTCCAGAATCTCCCATCCCTCTCAGATTCTCTATTAATTATTTTAGTCTTTTATCAGATAGTCAGGTCTGCTTTTAGCTTAATATTAATTTCTTTGCCACGTATATTTATGAATAAACATTCTTAAACCGCATATTCAAAACAAAATACATTTTTAAAATAGATACTCACTAAGCAACCACTATTGGCATTCATTTTTGATTTTCCAAATGACTTAGTTTTTATATACTCTTTATCTCAACCATATATTTATGGTTTTTAACAAAATATCATACCATACCCCAATCACTTACATTATGTACATAATTTTTCCAAAAACTCATACTTAGTTTTTCTATTATTACCATCACTAGAACCTAACACAACTATCCCAACTAATGAATTCCTATTTTTATAACTATCCATAATAATCAAGTTAATATCAATTCATATTTACCGACATATCTATTATTGCCTTTTATACATAATTAAACTACATCTTCATCTCACTGCTTCTACTTAATTTCATAAAATTATATTATTTATTCATATTTATTACATTTTTCTCCTTTCTCATAGACACACCACATATCTATTTTTCATTAGTTATGTTGTTTTGATTCCATTCTATATATTTTGCATATATATACTGTATACATTTAATATACTGCATATAATGACTGTTGGTTTATTGTTTGCTTTTTATCCACCAAACAAAGTTATGCTGTTTAAATGGGGCAGCCTTATAAAGTTCAAGATTAATTTCTTCAATCATATAATATTCCATCTAAATTTCTCCACAGATATGGACTTCTGCTGCTCATCATGGCTTTGGTTGATGAAGGCTTTCAGATAATGCTGTTTATTAATACAAAGTGAAGACTAAGTTACCAGATATAGTTATAGTGATGCCACAAGCAGCATTCCATCATAACAATGTTAAAGACAATACTGGTTATTCTGATGCATTTCGGCCAGTATCCTAGAAATGCAAGTAGAGCCTAGTTCTTCCAAGCGGTTAAGACCTTTAATATACAGCCTATTTTGCAAGCCCATATCCCACTAAGTAGAAGAAACATGCAATATACTGACAGACACTTTAGATGTACTGTATACCCTGCCTCTGAATTAAATTTTTTGCATGTTTAGCTCTCATGGGTAAATTTATAAGGTTGAATGTTTTCTTGAACCAACTGTTGGTGACTTGACTGAATAATCCGCACTCTATTAAAATATTGAAAGACATGTATTTTTCCTCTTTTACATTATTTTTAATGTGACAATCTCAAGACAATAGAATTACTGAGGGGTTTGTGCCTTGGTTTGTTTTTTTGACTGTCACACCACAGGACAAATTCCAATGTTGATGTAGAAATTTAGGAAAAATTAAGAGAAAGATTTCTACTGCACATACTTGATATCAGCAAATGCTGTCATCTGGAGCTTCAGAAAACCAGCAACTTCTTTTATTAAGTCCAAACCTTTTTCCTCACTCAGTGGGCTGTTGAAAAGAAAAGAAAAAAAGCATTACAAAAATGGAACTCATCAATACATCAGACGCTAAAAATCCCCGAAGACTTATCACCTTAGCCTGTTATGTAGGTTGAAAGGCAATGCTTACAGTATTCCTGTCACATTCTGATTGCGATATCAAGGAAAATGGGATCAGGTGCTTTCCCAGGCATGATGAATCACCTGAATTTTCCAGCAATAAGACAAACAATAAGGTGTAAATGGAATTGTTAGGAAATGTAATGGGTCCAATGATGCAGGGACCAGTTCATCTTGGTCCTCAATAAAAAAATGTAATGCAGTTTAAAGAGAAAGGAAAGAGAAGGGAACAAACGATGTAAGAGAAAAATGGCAAGATGAAGCTAGTGACAAACAAAGGAAGTAAATTGCAAACCTCTATCAAATGGAGAAGGAAAAATCCACCTCTACATTCATTAGTTGCTGAATGAATTCTTGCCCAGCAAATGACAAAAATGTTATAAATTCAAGAATAAAAAAGAGAACTAGTACACCATTCTGTAGGCAGTAATTGAGGAAGAGACATGCATCTCTGATTTTCAAAAATCTTGTGTTCAGACTTTTCTGAATATTTTATTTTATTTTTAACAGGACAATGGGATAGCAATATGTTGTCTCCAACATCTTAAATCAACTAGGATTGCAGAACATTTGCATAATTTTAGCAATTAAGAAAACAGGATATTCAAAACATACACATGTATGAAATAATATAGCCTTTTCCACCCATCATACACATTTCACTACAGGAATGCTCATGTTATATTACAAAATGATGTTTGCAATAACAGAGTTTAAATTAAGGAAAAAAAGAAAGAGAAATTAAACTCAAAGAAAGATACTTTGATTTTCCCCTCTCCGACCTTGTGCCTTAGAAATTTGTTGACCATATATTTGGATAAGAATGCAAGGTATAGCAAATAGCAATATTACTACTGTCTGCCATCCAAAGTCACTCTAACTCTAGTAAATAGAGTGGCACATTAAATAAATACATAAATAAACAAGTATAAATAAATAATATATACTGTTAAGTGAGGCAGATGATCTGGATACAACTCTCCTGAAGCAGATATGACTCTCAGAAATTAGAGATTTAGCATCAGTGGGAAATTTCAATTATTTGGATATCTATTAGAAAATCAACATGAAACTGAGTGTTCCCCCAAATTCCTCAGTGGCCTTGCTAACTATTTTATTTCTCAGAAAGTTGAAGAAGGGACAAGAGATGGGATCTTCTGGATCTGATACAAATCAATAGAGAAGAGTTGGTTAAAAAGGTAAATGCAGTGAGAATCTTGGGAGAAAGTGGTTACATTAATCTGGGTTTTATTATCATACAGGAAAGAAAATAGGGCCATTATCAAATTTTAAGGGAGAAAAATTTCAATAAACTTAGGGAAGTACTAAGGCAGACATCCTGAAGTGAAATGATTGTGACCATCTCAAAAAGAAATGCAATTGAACTCCTTTTTATTGAGAAAAATAATTAGGAGACAATGCAAGAAATCACTGGGGGATGTACAAAAGGCTTTCAACTGAGTTAAGAGTTAAAATGTGCATGTTTAGAAAAAGACAGAGAGGTATAGTCATCAAGGAAGTCTGTCTGTAGTGAGGTGCCACCTCACCACCATCTTCTCCCCATCCCCTTCAAGGAGATGTAAATAGCTTATATCTGCAGGAAAAAAATCAAACTCTACTGCAGAAGAAACCTGGATTCATAAGAAAAGAAGCAACGACAATAGGCAAAAGTGCATTTTTTTTCATTTATGTCCAAAGTAAAAGAAAAATCTTCTGAATCTTCTGTTTGAAAAGATGACAAAATTATAAAGGCATGACAGGGGCAAAGTAGAGTGTCCAAATTGTGTTTATGTAACACAAAAAAAGATAGGCCGCATCTGACTCATATGATCTTGTGTTAATTATTGGGACAAGATAAATTTCATCCAGGATTCTTGCAGAAGCTTGCAGATATAATTTGAAGCTCCATTCTGTGATCTTTCAGAAACAGTCAGCCCTTGAGGTAAGGCAGTTCAAGAAACTGGTATTCCAGGAAAGCTACTTTATTGTTGTAGGACAGTGATGGTGAACCTTTTAGAGATAGAGTGCCCCAAAACTGTCCCCCGCCCCTGCTCCACCCCCGCCCTGCCCCACCTGCCCGCAGGGCCATCCATCACCTCCATGGCCTGCCGCAGATCACTCAGGTGGCCCAGCAGCGCTATGACAGCCACGCCCTCTGCCCGCACCCCACAGCATCAACTACGGTGATGGGGCATGAGGACGGAGTCTTGTCCTCACTGCCCAGTTGCCATGTCCTTGGCTATGCTGCTCTGCGCAGGCCACACTCGGGGCGACTCTCCTCCAGGGGGGCTGCTGTTGAGGGGGCCGTGGGGGAGGCGGGGCTGGGTGATGGCACCCATGCCCAAAAAGAGGGCTCTGAGTGCCGCTTCTGGCATGCATGCCATAGGTTCGCCACCACTGTTGTAGGATATTAATATTAATCTTGTAGGATATTAATAAAACTTTAAAAGTCTGTCCAAATCCTTCAGTGTTCTATTTTTAAGGACAAAAAAGTCAAGATTGGGGGGGAGTGTTTTGAGTGTGATTCTCATACTTTCTTTCCAAGGCCAGAGAAACTACTTTCTTCTCCAATTTCCACTTCTTCCTCAAGGGCAGAATTAAATTCCTTGACAAAAATTATGAAGAAGAAGTACAGTTACAGGACTGGAGAAAGCAAATTTAGCTCCTGACTTCATAAAGAGGAAAAGAAAAGAACTGGGTAGATATAGACTAGTTAGTTTGATTTTGATTCTGAACAGAAGTCTGGAGCAGATTACTAAATAGTCAGTTTGTGAACATTTAGAAAAGAATACATTGCTCTGAAAATGCCAGCATGGATTTAATAGATACGAATTATCTTCTTTTTTGATGAAGTGACCATATTAGGAAACCATAGAAATACAGTGGATATAATATACTTTGATCGCATGTGGAGGTTATGTTTTTTTATTGGGGTTTTATCCCAAGAATCACTGAGAATGAACTGAGTGACCATATAAATTTTCTTAAATAGAGATAGATGGATGGATGGATGGATGGATGGATGGATGGATGGATAGATAGATAGATAGATAGATAGATAGATAGATAGATGATAGATAGATAAGAGGGCTTTTTTTGTCATAGAATGCCCAGAACAGAGTTCCGGCACCTTTTTTTTTTTTTTTTACAAAAAAGTACTGCATACATACATACATACATACATACTGCATCTAGTTCTGGGCATTTAACTGACAAACTGGAGAAAGTCCAGAGGAAAGCAACCAAGATGTAAGGAAGGATTGGTTGAAAATATTTGGTGCATTTAGTCTGGAGAAGAATACAAAGACACATCACAAATTTCTTCAAGTACTAGAAGGACTATCATATAGAAGATGGGATGAAGTTATTCAACTTTGCTCCAGAAGACAAAACAAGAAGCAGTAGCTTTACATTATAAGGAAGCAAATTTTGGATGACCATATCCTAACATATGCCAAGTTCCAGGAAAATCAGGAAATACAGACAGTTCAAATGGGTATAAAGATTTATTGCAAGTTACCACTCTAATGGCAGAAAGTGAAGAGGAACTAAAAAGCCTCTTGATGCGGGTGAAGAAGGAGAGTGCAAAAGTTGGCTTGAAACTCAACATTAAGAAAACCAAAATCATGACATCTGGCCCTCTCAATTCCTAGCAAATAGATGGGGAAGAAATGGAGGTAGTGACAGGTTTTATTTTCCTGGGCTCCAAGATCACCTCAGATGGGGACTGCAGCCAAGAAATTAAAAAATGCTTGCTCCTGGGGAGGAAAGCTATGGCAAATCTAGACAGGATACTAAAAAGCAGAGACATCACCCTGCCAACAAAAGTGCATATAGTCAAGGCCATGGTTTTCCCAGTTGCAATGTATGGATGTGAAAGTTGGACTATAAGAAAGGCTGAGTGCCAAAGAATTGAGGCCTTTGAACTATGGTGCTGGAGAAGACTCCTGCGAGTCCCCTGGACTGCAAGGTGTTCAAACCGGTCAGTCCTAGAAGAGATCAACCCCGACTGCTCTTTGGAAGGCCAGATCCTGAAGTTGAAGCTCAAATACTTTGGCCACCTAATGAGAAGGAAGGACTCACTGGAGAAGAGCCTAATGCTGGGAAAGATTGAGGACAATAGAAGAATGGGACGACAGAGAATGAGGTGGCTGGATGGAGTCACTGAAGCAGTAGGCGTGAGCTTAAATGGACTCCAGAAGATGGTAGAGGATAGGAAGGCCTGGAGGAACGTTATCCATGAGGTCGCAATGAGTCGGACATGACTTTGCAACTAACAACAACAACAAAATCTCTACAAGAATCTGAACTACTAATGGCAAAGAGAAATTAGCGGCAGATAAGAGTAGAAGGAATTCAAGATGGGCTAGACTTAGATTACTTGTGGGTGCAAAAGGACTCATGATTGATGACGAATTTCACTCCTCCCTTGGGCTCAGCCTGATCATCTCCTACAATACAGTCAGAATAGATTGCCTTGGGAAATGATGGATTTCCTTTACTGTATTTAAGCAGTGGCTCCATAGGCACCTGTCAGGAATGCAGAAATAAAGTTGATCCTGCTGTGTGGATTCCAAATGATTTGCAATGATTTGATTCCAAATTCATATCCTTACATTCTAAGATTCTATATTAGATGGAGATTATACCTTAAATGGTGATCAGAAAGTTAAAACTTCTTGTATTATTTCCACCTGCATATGGAATCAGACACAAGAGCTATATACCTCAACATAAGAATACAGAAGAAGTGGGAACTTCCGGTGGTCAGCGACGGTGATGGCGGCTACTTTGTAGCCGTCCTCCTGAGACGGTGTCAGATCTGTGGAGCACAGCGTTCATCAGCTGGCCCGCGGCTCGAAATCCCCTTCCCGGGCGAAGGGAAGGGGT